TAGATACACCACAATGTGTGACTCCAGGTACTGTATTAACAGGAGATTTACCACATTGTGGGACTCCAGGTACTGTATTAACAGGAGATTTACCACAATGTTGGTCTCCATGCACTTTTACACAAGATTGTTTTTCTTTCTATCTTTTCAGTATATTTTTGCATTTTTTTTTCTAATCTCACAATAATGATGTTACTTGCAGCAATTTGTGTCTGTTGAAATGTGATATTTATCCCTTGTGGGCGTATAATGCTACATAATAAGACTGACATTTTCCAGGTAATTCAGAAATGGTGCTGTTGAAAGTAACTAGTTATAAGAAATTGATATCATTATGATTGGTATCAAAATATGGTGCTTGTGCCTTAATAAAACCAACATTCTGTCACATAAATTTATTATGTATGATACTGTTTCAGGATGTGTTTGGGGACCGAATCCATATCAACGGGAAATTTGCTACCAGTGAACACTTGTAATGTTTCCATTTCGGGACACAGATTGTTTGGTACGTAAACTAATATAACTGGTCATAATATCCATGAAACACAGCTTGGTATCTAAATGTATTGTTCATTACCATCTTCAGACATGGATTGCTTGGTAAGTAAACTTAGTGGTCATTACAATCTTTGAACACAGTTTGGTATGTCCATGTATAGGTTATTACCATCTTTTGACGTGGATTGTTTAATTTGGTTCGTCAAGTTATTGGTCATTACGATCTTGGAACACATTTGGTACATGTGTGTATGTATGTCCATGCATAGTCTGTAACCATCTTGGGACAGTCTATGCAATTTTGGGACTCAGATTGTTTGGTACGTTATTGCATTGGTCACGGACAGAGAACTCCAGCAAGTTTGGGGAAAGTGTAAGTCTGCTTTATTCCACTGCACATCGCCATAAGAGGCAACTCATGTGGGCCCCCTGCAGAATCTGTGGTTTCTTTTCTCTTTAGGGGACATAGAAGAAAAAGTAAGATGACCTGTTTTCCCCATACCAATACTTGGGACCTTCATTGTTATCTTACTTCTCTGCTCCTTGCTTTTGATAATGTTACCTTAGGGACCTGTTTTTATAATTGGAAATATTACTGGTAAATTAGAATGTATTCTCCCACTGTTATAGGCCACATGGTTCTGTCCCACTGCGACAGACTGCAGGCCAGTGTCGGAGCAGCATGCCATGCCCAGAACAGGTCAGTACACAGCTGTTGACTGTTGTATGATGGATTAAGGTACGCGGGTAACTGTATATTACTAAACAATGTTTGTTCATTGAACTTGTGCATACCTGGTATACACAAATATTATGCAAACATGTGGATTTGGAATTAGAAGTTATTAAAATCCATGTCACTTGTTGAAAAAAAAATGTGAATAATAATTTAATATGTAATTTCAGACCATCACACATACTGCTGGCCATTGGTATCCCTGAATCTGTGGCAAGGAACGCACTCAGATTATCAGTAGGCAGGGAAACAACTCTAGCCGATATTGACATAGTCATCGAGTACCTGAAGCAGGCAGTGGAATTCATTGAAAACGATTCTCATGTCACGGAAGCTATCACCTGCTGAGCCAGACCATCATACATACCATATTTAGTGTCACATGCAGCTAATCAAAATGTATTTGTTTATTTACTTAGTTTAATATCATTGTCTTTAATCCTAATTTGACAGATTTTTTGTCAGTGGTGGTTAAAGGCTCAAAACATTTAATTCATTTACCCCTGAAGAAACATTTGACTATTTCAATTGAAAGGTTGGAATAGTTCATTACGAAATTTCAGGGGTGTATGAGTTAATTTCGAGAAGAATACTGAAAAAGGCTGTTTTCGGCTACATTATTGTATTTTTAGAACTATGTGTATTTTCAGTGGATAAAATTAAATTTACCATCAAAGGAAAATGTCACTTGTTGCATTTAACATATAACATATAAGAAACACTACTCAATAGGGAAATATCACATAATACCCTGATATTGTCAGAGTAACATCAATGCTTTTAACATTTTTCATCGGATTGTTAAAATCTGGATTAGCAAGGCATTGACTCCATACAAAACGTTACCTTGGTAATCAGATTATTTTTTTTATGTTTCTGAAATATATATTATTTTGATAAGATTTACGACTATCATGACATGTTTATTTCTGTACCTTCCAACTGGTGTCTGTGGTGTGCACACATTCCATTAGCTTAAACCTTTCCTGTTTCTGTTAATATTGGTCACTAATACTAATTGTCAGTGACATTAAGTACTGTACTGTACATGTACACCTGGAACTTTAGTCCAGTCCAACTTTCGCTGGTAAAATCTGTATAAGCCCAGTGTTATTTTTCGCTCTATATATTTGCTATGTTTATTATTTTGTTTACTAATGTTGGTGTACAGTATTACCTAGCTTGTCCTGGCTGGACCTATATATATATATTCAGAGATTTTATCTAAGTTAGGTTACATAAGTTGGAACAAAACAAAAAAATGTATTGGGCTACAACAAAATATAACCCCATCATAATTCTTGCAATCTTAATTGTATGTTGTTTAGAACTATTGTTTGACAAAAGGCATGGCTTAATATTTAATATGTTTTGTGTTTAACAAAGTGCTAGGCTTAATGACAAACATGTTATGTGTACTACAGAGGGGTTAATGTCAAATTTGTTCAGTGTTTAATGAAGAGATTGGCTTAATTGCGAACATGTTCTGTGGGCTAAATACAAAATATGTTAAGTGTTTTAACAAAAGATTTGGCTTAAATGTGAACATGTGCAATGTTAAATAATTATTTAAGGATGTGCTTAATGCCAAACATGTTCTGTGTTTAAAGGACTGTTTGGGCTAGGTATTACTTAAAGTGGAACTTGGGCAGCGTTAAAAAACGGTTGAATCTAGGAATGAACATGTTAAGTGTTTCAAAAAGATTGGCTAAATGGCAAACATGTTTTGTGTTACAAAAGAGTTAGGCTTAATGGAAAATATTTGTTTCATTTTGGCGAGGTGATTGTCTCAAATGTGACTATTTTCTTTCTTTAACAAACGGATGGGTTTAGTGGTGAACATGAACCCAGTGCTGTGGGTGCTGTAGTGGTGAACATGAACCCAGTGCTGTGGGTGCTGTAGTCATGTTCGTTACATTTCCCTGGTTTTTGTTTTCTGCTTGTTATGTTTATTAATTGTTGATGTTTGACTTACATTTGTTATTCCATAGCCCACTATGTTGGTTTACCTTTTCTTTGATTTATTTTTACCAAAAAAAATTAATATGAAGTTAAGGTGTCATTCAGCCGCAAGAAAAATGTTCTATTACAGATAAACCTGTTTTCCTGCATTAACACTTCAACTTTATTTTCATTTTTCTGGAAACTGACTCAATATACACATGTGTATGATAAGATGTGTTACGGTATAGCATTTTCTAATAGGCTGGGTGTCATCAATATTTGTTCAAAGCATAACTTCTTTAGTTTTTCACCTACATTCACTTAACTTGCTATATTTATTATGTACTCAAGTAAAATTTTTGTGTTCTTAAAATTGGGGTGGTCTTTAATTTTGGGCTGCTGTGTGCAAATCTATGGCTCTTTATGCATTTTTTTTTTTATCTCAAAGGCCTCTGTGTTGCTTCAGATTTATGGCCCTTTATGCATTCTTTTATTTCAAAGTTTGTCTTGGGCATTTTGAAAGGCATACCGGTTATGTACAGAGTTATGGCCCTTTGTTTATCATTCAATCTCTGTACTCTGTCCATTCTTCAAGGTAACTATACATATCTCTATTGTTGCTATCACATGATACACAAAAAATTGATATTACATCAGGGCAGAGCCGTCATTTTAACATTAGCTCTGTAAATGTATAAACCATTGGTCTGATGATAGGTGATCTAGCTAGCTAGTCAAAACATGTAAACCGGTAATAAAACTACGGAATCCAGATGGTGAGGCTGCATTGTTTATATCCTTTACATTCAAACTTGTTAAACATGCATATTTTGGGAAGAAACAAACTGATTATTTTCTTGACTTTGTCTCATTGTTCATTTGACATGCCAAATTTTTAGGTCACCTGAGCTTTAGCTCAAGTGACCTATTGCTATCCGTTTTCGTCCGTCGTCGTCCGTCATCCGTCGTCCGTCGTCCGTTAACATTTTACATTTCAAACTTAAAGTCAAGTTTTGCTGGGCCGATTGAACTGAAAGTTGGTAGGAATGATCGCCTCATGGTCCTGACAAAGTGTTGTTATTTTTCGGGTCGATCAGAAATCCAATATGGCCGCCACGGCCACCATTTTGAAAACCTATTTCAAACTTAAAGTCAAGTTCTGCTGGACCGATTGAACTGAAAGTTGGTAGGAATGATCGCCTCATGGTCCTGACAAAGTGTTGTTATTTTTTGGGTCGATCAGAAATCCAATATGGCCACCACGGCCGCCATTTTGAAAACCTATTTCAAACTTAAAGTCAAGTTCTGCTGGACCGATTGAACTTAAAGTTTGTAGGAATGATCGACTCATGGTCCTGACAAAGTGTTGTTATTTTTCAGGTCAATCATAAATCCAATATGGCCGCCACGGCCACCATTTTGAAAACATATTTCAAACTTAAAGTCAAGTTCTGCTAGGCCGATTGAACTGAAACTTTGTAGGAATGATTGACTCATGGTCCTGACAAAGTGTTGTTATTTTTCAGGTCGATCAGAAATCCAATATGGCCACCACAGCTGCCATTTTGGTAAACTATTTCAAACTTAAAGTAAAGATCTACTTGGCCGATTGAACTGAAACTTTGTAGGAATGATCGAATCATGGTCCTGACAAAGTGTTGTTATTTTTCGGGTCAATCAGAAATACAATTTGGCTGCCATGGCCGCTATTTTGCTACTAAGTTCTAATAGGCCGATCTCACTTAAAATTGGTCTAGGAATGATCAGCTCATGGTCCTGACAAAGTTAAGTTAACATTATACTATTTTTTACTCAAATTGGTACATATTTCAACAACAAAAATAAATACTATAGACTCAGGTGACCGTTAAGGCCCATGGGCCTCTTGTTATTACTAAATTATGTTTCAATTTCGTCAGGTGAATTTTCTTGAAACTGGTACACGTATGTAGCATTCTGTTTTATTCATGGTCATATTATAATTAGAATGTCAGATTTAAATGCTGAGGACATACATGTATCCAGTAAGGACCCACAATCTTGTCGCCATCTTTCTACATATCAATGTGTTACCTCTGTGACCGACAAGCCTGCTTTGAGTCACACACCTGTTTTTTTGTCTTGATGAGATGAATTGGAAAATCCTGCCTTAATTTGAGGTGAGGTATATTATGTATATAGCTACTTAGCATCATGGCGATGTCCTGTTGTAGTCCTGGCCTGAAAGATTCAGCATTATTTTCTGGTCCGTACATATCACATGACGAGGATACCGAGTAATATACCTACAAAGAAAACTTAGCTTCAAGTAAAACGTGTACGCTTAAGGGCATTATTTTATATCTATTATTCATAGTCAGTGTTTTCAATATTGCTACATGCATTTACGAGACTTATTATTAAACATTTTTATAATTGGTTGCTTTTTTATACCCCGTCTGAGGTGGTTATAGCACTTGCTTTGTCTGTGCATGTGTTTGTGTATATGTCTGTACATCTGTAGAGAAAGGCTTGAGACCAAAATATCTTATGAACCATTCAACAGGTTCAGTTAATATCAAACCATGATAGGTAGACATCAAGTTCTACACTTGAATATAACTTTATGGTCATTGATCATTATGTTTAAAGGGTCAAAGGTCACTCCTGACCAGTTTGTGGCAGGCATTTCTATGTGAGCCTCGGTCTCTGTTCATTTTGTTCTATATTGTAAAAATTGCTCAACATATAAATACATTCATTTAGTTATACACATATTAGCACTTCTCCACCTAAATATTTTAAATGTTTATCAATTTTACAGAAATCCTTGTAGAACTGTAGCAGTATAATATTGATATTATCTATACATTATAATGGTTGTTCTTGTCATATCATGTGTTTACTTTCAGTGTGATACTTTATGTTTACAAAAAAAAAAATGATGTTGAAGCTCCCTGACATATACTGGGAGTTTAATTATTAGAAGCAGAAGACTAAAGATCTTTGACAATATAGATTGAAGTTTATTTGAAGCATTA